AGGGGAGTCCTCAAATCAATGCCTCTCTGCCCTGGGTGAACACTGGAGTCAGTTTGGAGGTCCATAAAAAAGGAAGACAATTCCAATACCTGGATCCCATTGCAAGAGATTCCGATTTGAAGGGCTGGGTGCCACCTGACCTCAGGACTTCTGAAAGCTCCTTAGGTGGAGAACCACTTCTCTAAACCTATTAATAGCAAGTTTTCCTTTGCTGAGTCCTTCGGCTCCCCTAACTCCACGGCCAAGGTTTCCGAGGTAGCACATGGGACGCTGTAGACACGGAGGAGGTGATTGCATTTTGTTATAAGTTGGGATCTTCTGAAGGAATCTAGCAAATCCATGATAGAACTACTGCATCTACCACAGGCTGGCACAAGAGCAAACAGTCTGACTGGGGGAAAAGGTACAGCCGGAATGCCCGTTGGGAGTGAAGTGAGACTTCGTGTCAAGTCCTTTGGGTGTGTCATTGGGAAGACCAAGTCCCTGGAGAAGGACGCCATGCTTGCTAGGATATAGTCAGTGAGGAAGAGGAGGCTTCTCACTGAGATAGACTGGCATGGGAGCTGCAACATGGACTCAAAGGTAACAGTAAGTGTGAGCACGACGCAGGACCAAGGAGCGTTTCTTCTGCTGTGCGTGGGAAGTGCTGGGCTTCCGGAAGTGCTGGAATTACCTGGACCCTGCCAATCAACAACTGAGAATCAATCAACTCACATCTACTGATTTTGTCATGTTGCCTCTGGAAACTCTAAGAACTCTGATAAATGTTGATAGTTAGAGAAAGGCTTCAGGCCTTTTGTTCAGAAGGTCACTATGAGTTGTGCTCGACTTGAAGGCAATTAACAACAACAACAACAGGAAAGAAATTCTTTTCAGCCCCTGTGACATAATTTGTGATTATTTTTACAAGGTATATCGATGTCAGGCTGGAGACTAAGGTGCACCTGATCCAGGCTATAGTCTTTGCAAATATGTGCTATGCATAGGAGAGTTGGACAGTGAATAGGGATGATAGAAAGAGAATTGATGCCTTTGAGCTGTGGTGCTGGACAAAAGTGTTGACTATACCATGGACTGCTAGGAGAACAAACGGGTTTGTCCTGGAGAAGGTGAAGCCAGAATGTTCCCTGGAGTCACGGATTCTGAAGCTTCGTCTTACATACTCTGGGCATGTTGCAAGGAGGGACTGGTCCTTGGAAAGGGATATCATGTTTGGGAGAGTGGAGGGACAGCGCAGGAGAGGAAGACCCTCGATGAGATGGATCGATTCTGTGAGTGGAGTTGTGGGAACGAATGTGTTTGAGACAGCGAGGTTGGCACAGGATAGAACGGCGTTTAGGTCTGTTGTACATAGGGTCGCTATGAGTCGCAAATGACTCAATGGCACATAACACCAACAACAACTACTCTATGTGCATAAAACTTGCTGGTGTCATTGAGTTGACTATGACTCATGGCCACTCTCTGGAGAACCCATCTGAGCCCTTCCCTATCCTGCACAATTCTCCTGTTTCCCTGTCATGTTCAAGCCCGTTGCTGTAGGCACCACGTCAGTCCCTCTCATCGAGGGTCATCCTCTATTTAGCTGACCTTCCCCAGCATGATGGCTGGTACTTCCTGAAAATATTGGTTATGCTTAAAACTCCTAGAGGGTGGAAGCCATCTATCTGTAAACTCCTCCTCCAGCTTCACCTGACGTAGCAGCAGCAGGCCGAGAGTCACCGAGGAGTCCCTATAGAATGTTAGTTTGTTGTTGTTATGTGCCATTGAGTCATTTCCGACTCATAGCGACCCTATGCACAACAGCCCTAAACCCTGCTCTATCCTGCGCCAACCGCACCGCCTCTGACACACCCATCCTGATTACCCCAGTCACCGAATCAATCCATCTCATAGAGGGTCTTCCCCTCCTGCGCTGTCCCTCCACCCTCCCAAGCATGATGTCCCTCTCCAAGGACCCGTCCCTCCTGGCAACATGTCCAAAGTATGTCAGACAAAGCCCCAATCCTTGCCTCCAAGGAGCAGCTTGGTTTAATCCTCTAAAAATATGGAACGCTTCACGAATGTTAGTTTACAATCTGAAATTCTACTGCCCAGAATTCGGGGACTCTCAAACTGGATTCTGAATGCAGAGTTACAGTCATAGGACGCTATCGATAGGAGTTAAAAAGTCACTGTTGTTAGTTGATTCCAACGTAGGGTGACCCTCCACTGGGATTCAGAGTTTGTAAATCTTAACGGGACCAGACTGCTCATGCATCTCCATCGAAGTGACTGGTAGATTCAACCCGCTGACCGTCTAGTCAGCAGTTCAACATGTAAGGCTCTACGCCTTCAGGTCTCTTGCAGTAGAAGGTGTTGTTGCTGTTATGTGCCATCAAGTCAACAGTGATTCATAGCAACCTTGTGTACAACAGCTCTGAAGCTGTCTCGCTGACTCAGACACACCTACCCCCATTGCCCTAGTTACTGTATCAATCTATCTCATCCAGGGTCTTCCACTCTTGTGCTGTCCCTCCACCCTTCTGAGCATGATGTCCTTCTTCAAGGACCAGTCCCTCCTGGCCACGTGCCCAAAGTATGTGAGACGGAGTTACAAAATCCTCCAAGAAGAAACTTGGTTTCACTCTAGATGTTCATGTTTTGAGGTTACGTTCAAAATCGCAGCCAATAATTTCCTGCTTGGTTTTCACTCCTTGTTTCTGTGGAACGCATAAAGTAAAAGATAATATCTAAGACAATCTTATTAGGTTGCTTGGAGAATTTTGTCGTTGTGTACATTGAGTCGGAACCGACCCATAGCTGACCCTTCAGCAGGTTTTCAAAGGCAGTTAATGGCACTGGAAGACACTGTCCATCTTCTCCCACAGAGCAGCTGGTAGATACCAGCATAGTTCTTTTCCTTAATTGTGTTTTAATTCCCCTCTCTCCCCCACCTCCCATCCAGGCATGTCCACCCTTCTTAGATGAAGTCTAGAAAAGTTCTTCCTCATCCTAAACTCAATATTTATGTGGAAGTAGAGTTTTAAGTGTGACGAAAGCAAAGTTTTCCTTTGTGAACTTAATTGAGAAGTTAAACTCCAATCCCACGTAAAACTGGAATGTCCCCCCCACCAAAGTCCATCCTTAATGCATTTTCCCCAGTCCTTGTTTGAACAAGGCCAAGGCAGGGTTTGAAGAGTCGGTTAAATAATTCTGCAGACAGAGATGTCAAATTTCCGTCACTGATTCTCTTCACCCACGTAATGGTACCCTTATTTAATTTTAAAACTAGACCAGCATTGGTCTCCTTAGGTAAAGAAATACACACGCACGCACACCACACCACATTATCTTGAGAAGGAACTCCTTGGCACCAACCACCACTACATTATCAAGAAGGACATTGATTACTTGCCGCTCAAGGTTAATGAACCTCTTCATTAGACTCATGCAGTTAATCATTAATGTGTAAATTAATGAAGAGTACCTACTCCATCAGACACATGCATGCCTTCATCCACGCAGACCCACCAACCCAGAAAAAAGAGCCAGGATAAAATGTAGCATGAGTTTCTTACATTAAAAAAAAAATAATAAAATTAGACATTAAAGACACTAAGGCATAGTAGTAATTACCCAAAAGGATTAAGAAAAATATTTCCCTCACTAAAAGGAAAAAAATCTTCTCAAACTCATTGCTATCAAGTTGATTAGCATCTAAATGGTCCTGTAGGAGGGTGTAGAACTGCCCCCATTGGGCTTTGAAGGCTGTAATCTTTATGGATCTTCTACTCTAATAGCTCCGAGTGCTAACATATCAAAAGCCTTTCATATCTATTTTGAAAGGCACACATTTTATAACATATGATCTAGTCTTTAAATCAGAAACACTAGAACTCTGAAATAAAATCATTACCTGGCTTTTGTAATTGGATGCTAGGCCCCTGGATAAGGCCACAAATACAAGTTTGGGCTTATGCTCAGCTGCTAACCTAAAGGTTGGCAGATCAAACCCCACCAGCAGTGCCATAGAAGAAAGAGCTGGTGGTCTCTTCTACAGAGATTCCAGTCAAGACGTGTCCAGGGAGCAGTTCTGTTCTGTAAAATATACGTTATTTTTGTCGTCGATCGCCTTCAAGTCGAGCACGCTCATAGCGACCCTATGAACAAAAGGCCTGAAGCCCCTCTACAACTATCGACATTTATCAAAGTTCAAACACATGTTGTTGTTAAGTGCCGTCGAGTCGTAGGCGACTCATAGCGACCCAATGAACGAAAGTCCTCGACACTTGCGAGTGTGACTTTCATTCTTTCTCCAGGTTCATAGGCTTTCTGAAAGCAAGCTATTTACGGAAGTGGATGCCACTCTTGCTACCAAGTTCAAACACATATGTGGGAATATATGACATATGTCATCGTATGTGGGGAGCCACTCAGCCGTAACAGGTTTGTTTGGCTTGGTATAGTGTTTATGCTGAAGTTTCTGTTTAAGGTATTAAAAAATGTTAAACAGACCTTTCTAATAATGATTATTGTTGTGGTTAGGTGCCATCGTGTTGATTCTGACTCACAGTGGCCCTACGGATGACAGGCTGGACACCGCCCCAGTCTCGCCATCACTGCTCTGCTTGGCCCCGCTGCAGCGCCCCAGTGTCAGTCCATCTCACGGAGGGTCTGTCTCACTGACGCACGAGCACTGCGGTACATAGTGAATTATAACCGTATACAAAACAGAATTTTGGACAAAGAAGATTTTTAACCATAATCCATTTGCGTATGTAATACTTGTTACCTTTGTTGCTCAAATCTCTTGTGAGCATGACCTTTTTAAAAAAATACTTTTATTTCAAAATCCAATTGGAAATTTCCACATCTAAATGTCTAAAGACTCAACGGTATAAAACATGAGTGGACACGGGGTCACCAGGTGTCAGGATCAACATGACGGCAACAAACAGCAAAAACACAGCAAGGGACCTTACATGGTCCCTGTCCCAAGGGGCCGCGTGCGGACATACCCACAATCAGCGTGACGCCCATGCTCAGGGAGCTGACCCAGGCGGTGAGGCCGCGGCTCTGGTGGAATTCCTCCAGCCACTCCACGTTGAGGACGCCCAGGGCCATCTGGGAGCCCATGATGAGGATGTGTACGAAGAACGAGGAGAGGACGATCATCCAGGCCCAGCCGCCGTCAATGTCCGGATGCGGCTTGAGTGTCTTCTTCTCTTTGGGGTCATCTTCAAAGTCAAACCCGATGTCTTCATGACTCGTATACATCTTCTGAGCTCTTCCGAAAGGCAATTAGCAAACAAGGTCATTGACAAAGGTCATGAAAAACAAAGCAGAAAGTATCTTTAAAAAAATATATTAATTTTTCCATATTTTATATATCTATTTTACTTTTCCATAATTTTGGACTCATGTACTTATAACTTGTTAGTCAAATTTGTGTCTTCTAGGTTGCAACACCCCCATGATACATCTTCAAG